TTGCACACAAATTTCGGCCCTATAGCTAAATATCCACTGATTAGTCTCTGTTGAGTTTGACTGCCGTAACCGTAACCAAAATCGGTTAAGAGACCATTAATTACACCGTTTGACATCCGCCATATTTACCTATTTGCTGCACTTTTTATGCACGGATGTCAGTCTTCCGTTTTATAAGATGCTAATCGTATTAGTGGAATTGATTTCAAACCGGAATATTTGCATTAATTAACATTATCTATCGACTGTCAACTATGGTGTTACACTATTTCGCATATTCATTAGATGATTATCCACAAATTTAATGACCGTAGTAAAAAACTTGTTGGTCACGAAATACGGAAATTATTTCTTACGTATTGGTGATTTACGTCTAGTGCAGATCTGCTAAGATTAAACTGTCAAACACCAAGCGGTCACCGGTGACCGCGACCTATTGTTCTTTAATTGTGTCTATAAAACCGGTACTCGACGAGTTAAGTAAATATTATATATATTTAGAAGAAACACGAAATTATTTTTGTTCTGAAGACTGGACTTCTTAATAGGTATGCTATAGAATAAGGTCATCGCCTATAAACTAATGAATGCCAATATTAAATATATTTTTGGACATTTTTGCATAACTTTCGCACTTGATTAGGTAATTGCTATTTTATTAATTACAAGATTATCGTACAAATAACCTGTAGTTACAGGTACCTAAGTAAGTAATTAATGTATTGTTCGTGGCCTAGTAAACGTACTTACATGATCGTGTGTACTAGCGTGCATGTGTTGCAGGCAGATTTGACCAATCAGAGTTACGAAATAATTTCTAATAGTGAGGTGTCAGGAAAGCAAAAAGGGTGCCAGTAAAGTTATTGAAATACAACTATCGTCAAAAGGATGACAATAAAATGAAATTTTGAAATACTGATTTAACATACAATAATTATTAGTGGGTTTTTAAAAAAATCTCAGTAGTAGCACGGAGTTTGGAATTGTGCCCGGTGTATGGCAATAGGCTCATCCCCTATTACATAGGACTCATAACATTAACAGTGACAAGTGGGTGTTACATTGTACAGTGGCATAATGTGCACCTCTGCCTACCCCTTCGAGGATAAAAGGCGTGATGTTATGTTATGCATATTGCCTGATTGTACAATACATAAAGTTTATTGTAACAAAATAATTGTAATAATAATATGTCCATACATTTTGGCAAGCCTTGATACTACACCTACAGTAGACAGGTATTATTTTGTCATTCCGCTTCCTAGTGTCTACCGAACTTCAATTGTCAAAATTCGACAAGAAGACTTGGCCTATGTGACATAATATCACTTCCTTATTTTTAGACATGGTGTTACAAAGTGTCATTCACTACGGTCCCCACATACTTCTATATCTTCATTCATGTAATCATACAAGCACACCGATTATGCCATTCAAAGCGTACTTAACATATTAGTGAACAGTTCATAGTATGACTACGACATAGTACGAGACTACGAGTGTACGAGTACGGCTTCGGATTGCGGCGCGATCGGTACCAGCACCGCGCGCCGCCGGTAATTAGCTTCAACACTGAGTTGCCAGCTTATTGGAATCAGTTTCCTTGGTGGCATTTTAGAGGAGACTAGACTTGGAATACAAATAATTTAAAAGTGTGCTGAGGTAAACCACGAACCAATGACGGTGCTTTATTGTTTTTAATAGGACCCTTTATCGTAAAATAGTGAATGGACGTCCATGTGCGTGCCTGTCTTATAGTGGAGGTCATTGGGACAGTTTATACTAAGTATTCCAATTCAAAACACTAATCATTTCATATTGTTCAAGATTGTCAAAATGATTGACTTGCTGAGTTGCTACGATACCTTGTATTTTCAACGGACTTCCTAAAAAGGAGGCGGTTTTCATTGCCCAACGAGTGCAGGTTCCCCGGTAAATGCGCAGCAGTTGGCAACACAGCAGTTATGTAGCTAATACCGTGATCCTGTCGAATATTGTTTCGCGTGTCTTCTATTCTCGTTCCAAGGCACAAAAAGTTTCAATTTTGTTTGTTTTTCTAACTGACTTTGTGCACGATTGCGACTTTAACAAATAACTAAGGAACCGAAAATGTTTATACTTTTTTTTAAAGTGCGGAATGAGGTTTCTCGTCGTTGGAAAAACAATCATCGCGCGAAGATAAATTGTTTATTGTTTAGGAGTTTCGGGTCGCGCAAAGTTATATTTTAGATATTTTCAGTAACATTTTCGAGTCAGAAATTGTGTCTGTTCTAATTAACAATATTTAAATGTGAAGATTTTTCATTGAGGAAACATTTGAATTAAATTTACGTCTTTCTCTGTACTGTACCGTACTCCGTACGTTTGATACTATCATTTAATTTATTCATTACTATTTACTACTATACTAACGATCAGACTTCTTTTCTAGGATAAGCCAGTAAACGAGCAGACGGATCACCTGATGGTAAGCAATCGGTGTGCCCATGGACACCAGAGGCGTTACAAGTGCGTTACCGGCCTTTTGAGGATTGTTGGGGGTAATTGGGCCTTGCGTAAATAAAACTTAAAGAGATGACAAACAGACCAATAAATTAGTTAATTCATATTATTTAGGATTTTACGTTCAATACTTAAGTTTGGTTTTCAATACGTTCTTCAGTAGTTTTGACTATTATTTTTTGAAATTATCTATCCTCTGTAATACGTACGTCAGTCAGTCCAGTAACAGGTCAATTAACACTATTTTATCTGTGGGCAACAGGCTAACGGGTCAGCAGTAACCGCAGTTATATCTGTTAGTTTATTAATTAACTGTGAGTAACTGATAACTTCATTAATGTCAAGATCAATTAAAATATTGACTAATTATTGTTTGTGAGCTGTATGTTAAGTAGAATTACAGTAACTACATAATTTTATAACTAAATTGTAGCATCATGCCAGGTTGACTGCACGGTTGGCGCGGTAGCTGGGCAACTGGCTGCCGTGCAACGTGTCGTGGGTTCGATTCCCGCACGGAACAACTCTTTGTGTGATCCACAGATTGTTGTTCCGGGTCTGGGTGTCATGTGTATGTGAACTTGTATTTGTATGTTTGTAAACGCACCCACGACACAGGAGAAAACCCTAGTGTGTGGCAAAGTTTTTTTAAAACAAAAACAAACAAAGTTTTCACTTATAGGAAGATTTTTCCTGAATCGAGTGTCGAAATCGTCGAAGATATTGGTGTTCAATAATCACGTTTGTTACTAAACCAACGATATGTTTTCATAATGAATCACGTACAAAGTAACCTTACTGATGCATGCCATTTCTATTGTCGATCATTTTAAGTATTTCATGTATAGGTACTTTAAACATATATGTGTTCCTACATACGATGATGTCAATGCTCATTGGTCGCTCTTTTGACTACTGATGCAGTCGGATTCCATCAAATAAAATGTCCCGAACTCCAAACATTGATCAATCCCCAAGTGGTCACCGGTGACAACTCCATTATAGACCGTATTTCCGATGTTTAGAGACTACTTTTGTATGAACAAATTATGGGGATTTATATCAGGTGATTGTACGAGTTAATAAGTAAATAAGATTGCTATAAATAATGATTCTCTTTTTGCAAGGCCAATTTGAAACTTGGACGCACTTAAAATAGACCGACATAATTACATTTTAAGCCAATGTTTTTATATATAAATAATCATATTATGTATATGAGGTAGACCTACAAAAAAGTTACGCCGCACTTAACATTCTTGATTATTTTTTTCATCTAATCGTTTGTGGGTGTCAACAAAAACTGCACGCGTAATGTGGAACGAGATTACATTTTTTAATGTTAAATAACTTGTCACATATATTTATGACATGTTCACATGGCTACACATCGAGCTTTACATATCCAGTATAAACTGAACGTTAAATGTGCGGAAAGATGATGCGACGCGACACCAGGGTAAACTGGTCTTGTATAGATTGATGTGTGGCCGTGTGTACACCAACAACACCTAGTTAGTATTAAAGAAAAAGGAGTCCTAAAATATGTATTTCGCGTCGAACAATGTCCTACTTTTTGTCGTATGTCCAGTTTATGTAGTACCGACTAGATTATTGTCAATTGTTTTAGTTATTTCACGATTTGCTTCATTTTTGAAGAAAGTTCACAACGAAGGTCCTATCGGAGTGATAGCACACCATTGCCTCACAGAAAACCGATTCTTGTCTTAGGTTGTTCAACAAGATTCAATTATCCACCCCCCTCCCCAATCTCCCCAATCCCTGAATCTTTAACAATCCTCCAATTCATATTCCCAAAAGGCCGGCAAAGCACTTGTAACACCTCTGGTATTCCGGGTGTTCATGGGCGATGCCGATTGCTTACTATCAGGTGATCCGTCTTCTCGTTTACTGGTTTATCCCATAAAAATTAGGGACCTCAAATTTTAGCAGTTTCATGTAATACCTCTATAATCAGCCTATTGCCATATGTCTGTATGTACGAGGACCAATTACAATTTCAGGATCGGTGCTATTACGAGAAGTTTCGGTGTTAACATGTTTGTATGAAAAAATATATGAAAGCGTAGCCACGTGTAGATAATAGTGTTTATTTAATAATAATGCATTATCAGTCCACTTGAAATTATACTAGGAACAAGATTTATATTTTGATAATAGTATTTGTATGACATGATACATGACATACATAATACTTTGATATTAGTGTAGTCTTTATGCTACCTATTATGGGACTACGTGATGAACTGGTTTTCCGTGGGTTTTCCGGAAAGGGTTGGTCGCTGTCATTACCGTCCTACGTCCTACGTCCTAGGAGACGCAAGAGTTCCTTTGAACTTAATATAACTATTGGTAATGAAATTGATTTACATTTGTTTGATTTCTGGGGTATCGTTGTTTAAAAATATTTGGAATCATGAGAAATCTCTGTAAATTTTGCTTATTCATCTATACCAAAACGAGGATGGATCACTTACCTGAGATCATATAATATAGTTCCTGTCAGGCTGCCGTCGACCTATAGCGAATGGCCAGGCCCTGGCGCGTACGGCAGCCGCCACGTCTCCGCGCAGCAGCGCCACCACATCGTCCAGGAACCGCAGCGCACGCGCCTCTGCGCCCAGCGCACGCGCAGCCGCCGTACATCGCCGCGCGCGCACCGATGACGCCTGAAATACAATTTATTTTCTTAGGGAGATCGTTTTTTATGACCGAAATCAATAACCAATCGATCCAAAACGTAGTTTCCTTTTGACTTTAGTTGGAAGAAGTTTCTGTCAAAAACTTAGATATTCCAGATATTTTGGATTGAGATCAGTTATTATAATTCGGCCGTTAGCAAAGAAATCATTAAGACTGAAGAACCCATAAACCATGACTAACTATTATTGTTTCTATAGAAAAGTCAATGATACTACTTAAGAAATAAGAAGTACTTGAAAATTGTACTCTAATTGCCCATACAAAATATTTTATTAAGTATTTACTTGTATATACTTTGTGATAAACAAAACAATTCATTCTGTTCTACAATGAGGTAAAAATCTCATCGTTTATAAACAGAGATATTTCGCTAATTGGACACGCTTCAAAGGTTTATTCAATCAGGTGATAATTCTTCTTTTGGGAGGCACAGCTATATTTAAAAGCCTATTCGCCTATTCTTACAACGATATGTCTATCATCGATATTTTCGAAAATTCCACGTTTTTCTGCCTGCCCTAGTCACGCAATGTATTTGAGACGCACCTATCAATCATCAGCCTCTTCTTATTTCATCAGCATCATTAGAGGTAGAATGATCGAGACCGAACAAGATCGCCAACAAAAACAATCATATAAAGATACACGAATCATTATAATTAGCTACGTCTTACAGAGCGCCATGAGCTAAATAATAGCTTGTTTGCAAAAACCATGGAGTAACTAATCTGTTTATAAATATAGCACAAATTGTATATTTACTTGTTATTGTTAATGTCCGTTATTTATTATTGTTTCCTTATTAAAATATCCCATTTGAAACCGCAAGAGCAGGAAAATGGTAACTGATGGGACAGAATTAATTTGTTTTACGTAAAATCGTTCTAAGTGTATGTGACATTTTACTATCTATTCAGCAAAAGTCTGTGTTTTGTTAGGAAGTAAATGATTTATTCGAATTTAAGTTTAACTTGTTGCTTAGGTAATGAAGTGTAATATGCAAATATTTTTAAAATATTACTTTATCATTGAGAGTAATTATTCACGACATTATTGTATTTATGTCGTCTGGTCACACGCTCGTTATCATTGTTATTGTTTGAGTCGAATATTCACTGATAATTATTTATTAAATAACTCATATCTCAAACTCAAGCACTCTAAAATACCCTTGTAATGAATACTGGAATCTCTTGCTAATATTGGGTTATTTACAAAAGACTAGTTCATGAAACATCATGAAACTTTGCTACCGACTAATGTTACTGTCCGCCGCGCCACGCGTACTGCTGCTTATGCACTCAGTGAAGCGCATCGTTCCGCATTGATGAAGAATATTTACTACAAAATTATGAAATCGTCTTACAGCTTATAATAAAATTATTGAAACACTGAAAACTATACCGCTTGGGCGGACACCCGTCATTTCGTGTGCTTTCCCTGTACTTTCAATGTAGTAGAACATTAGAAATGAATTCCATAACTAATTGTACTTGTTGCTAATAAATCACATTGATCGAGATTTCCACAATGCACTCACTTTAGCAGAACGTGGGGAGTATCTCAAACATGTATGTATATATACGACGGTAGGTACTCAATATTCACGTGTCACTAACAACCGAGTATAGTTTGTGGCGATAGACAGAGACGACAAACCAAGTGAAAGTAGTACGAAATACACGATAATGTATTACTTAATGATGCAGTAAACTAGATTGGTTTGTTTAAGTGCATGCAGATAACGAGCAAACTGACCGACGATGTTTACCGACCGACCGACCGGCGACCTAACCGAATCGATTTAATCATATCGACGCATCCGCTCGCGGTACTCCCGCAGCCACGGCGAAATTCTCACGACCAGCAAATATTCCAGGCGAGTGAGTACTCGAACTGTGAATTATTGAACGGAAGGAAATTCAATCGTTGATGTAGGTCGGTGCGAGGTGCGAGCACTAGTGTACGGTGCAAAGCGTGCGTGAGGCGGCGCAGGGCGGCAGAACGGTACGAACGCGTCAGGGGTCGCGGCGAGCCACGCGCCGGGCCAGCACCTGCAGGTCTGCGTGGATGTCGGCCAGCTCGGAGTGCAAGTCGCGCGACTGCGCCAGCAGCGCGTCCAGGCGCCGCGCCGTGGCGGACAGCGCACACTCCTCCTCGTCCTCCTCCACGGCCAGCGCCAGCCGGCCCAGCCGCTCCCGCTCCACTGCCTCGCGCACTCCGCCACCACCTCGTTTTCGGAATTCGCGCAGCAGTTCCCGTCGTGTGCATCCTCCTTCACGTTCCTCCTCCTCCGCCTCCCGCAGCTCGTCTGCCAGCGACCGCTCCGCAGCAGAGTTCTTTGATTTATTGTGACTAGTTTCTTCAGGGGATGAGATAGACTCGGACTCCTTGTCTGATTCTGGTGGTTCTGGCGGTCTGTGATGGGGCTCGGGTGTGGCAGATGCCGATAACAAGGGGCTGGGTGATTGAAGAGCTCGCTGTAGAAACCGTTTAGTGTCTTCATCGAGTGGCCTAGTGAGGCCACGGCGTGGGACCGGCCTCACGATAGCTTCTAGTGCGTCACGCCCTGGATCCTCAGGCCGCAGCAGCTCCAGGATGCGTGCACGAGGGGGCGATATGGTGGCGCAGACGTCGTAGCGAGCTACCAGCTTGCCCTTGCTTGGTGAGGTGTGGATGTCGCCAGTGGGGGTGTAGGCGCGGATGTTCTCGTTGAGCAGCCTGTAATTGCGCAGCTTGACGTTGCCCTCGGGCGGCAACGCAGAGGGCTCGCAGGCTGCGGGGTCGGGCTCCACGATCTCGATGTAGTGCGCGGGCAGCGGCTCGTCGCGCGGCGTCTGCGTGAACACGTTCATGTCGCGCTCGGGCGGCGCGCGCGCTCGCACTGCCCGCGCTGCCTCGCGCCGGCCCACACTGCCCGCGCGGGACGCACGCGGTGAGCAAGGACGCGCGGGACCTAACGCATGGCCCGGCACTACCGGACTGCACCCCACGCACCACTAATTAGATTTAACACTCCCTTGTTTGTCAATGATATTATGAAATCACTGCTGTTAGTGTCACATTAGTGGGACAACAATAACAACGTGTTCATGTAAAAACACTGCGCATTCCGTGCGCCAGTCGAGGTGGGCTGCGTTTTCTAGTAGCGGTCGAGTGGCCGTGTTTCACTTTTGTTACAGTTTGTTAGGAACTCGCTGAACGATTCAGTGCTCATGAAATGTAATATTTGAGAGTACGTTTTACTAAATGTTTTGTTAAAAGAGTACCGCGACGCAGTTTACTACGATTACCCATTGTTCCTTATAGTATCAGTCACTTATACCAATTGATGCGTTTATTATCATTTATTGGTTAATAAAACCACAAACGAATGTTTCACTAATTTATTTTTTCGAGATAGCGTCGTAGGTGGACGTACCAGAAATATTTGTCACTGGAATGAAGTAAGATTGCGCAACAAACTGGTCCAGTTATGTTAACCGCATGGTAATCGCGGATTTGTATAGACTATAGAGGATCATCCACTAAGCAGTGATGTAAAAAATATGCTAATTAGTGTAATAAAAACTGTGAATCACTGTGATGTAAAAAACTGGTTAAATAGGTACCATCCAGAATAAAAACAAATATTTTGGTATGTAGATATACATAATGTATGAGGATGAACAAAATAACATTAACTGTAATATGTTTAAACGCATAGAATTATTTTCCCTGCCTTTGACATACCGTATCAGTGTATTGGTGCACTGACACTGGCAAGGTAGTAACTGCGAGTAAGTGTTAAAGTAGAAGTAGTTAAAGTACTATTGAGGTTTCGATTATCTTAAAGTTGACATAACATAAAATCACGTCTTTTCATCCGCGAAGGGGTAGTCAGAGGTGCACATTACGGTACCTAATACCACTGTACAATGTAACACCCATTTTTTACTTTGACATCAAGGTATATGCTAGTAAAATACGTAATAGCCAAGAATAATATAACTTTTCTTCTAAGAAATTTTTCTAAGGGTAAGGCAAATACACGAAATACATCAAGTACTGGTCCCTTAAGGGAAACCAGACTTTATTGTTAACTTCAATGTATATTCAATTAAAATTACAACTTTATGTATAAAGTACTAGCTTATAACTTTATCCTTCACTAAAATTTGAAGGTCACTTTTTAATTTAACTTACAACACAGGAAATTATGAGACCGTACTAAAACCAGATTCTCTTTCAAATAGTTAAATAGAAATTACGTACTGAGAGAGAGCCATGAAATATTTTACATGGACAGACAATACAACATATCAACATAATTATGTTTCATGTCACATATTATAATAAGCGGTGAGCCTATTGCCATTCATAAGATAGGTATATTTGTAAACTGCATATATGTCAAATATAAGTTTAATTATTTTTACACACACAACACATTACAAAAAGTGTTACTGGAGAAAATCGAGTTTCCCGACTTGAAATTTTCATTTATAAATATTAATTTTAGTTCATGAGCAGCATTCCGCGACACACGTCGCGGCAACTGTTGCGCTGCTCTTGGCAATGTGTAGCCCACAGATATAGATATACAGCTATATCTGTGGTGTTTTTTTTTTAAGGGGGGAAAATCATCGAATGACTGCTCCCGCCTGGGTGAGGCGGGAGGGAGTGTCAGACTCTTACTGACTAAAAACCACCCCGTTCCTTCTCCTGCACGTCGAGCCGGAGCCCCGGTTACCCGTTAGGTTCTCCGCGACTCCGAATCGGCATCGGTCCTACTGGGCCCCATCTGTGGTGGTCTGATGGCTCTTTGAGGCATGCGCGGACCGCTCGGCGCCGTACGCTCGGGTCTGTTTCTGGTCGGACGGGGAGCCACCCATGCTCGCCGTCCGCAGGCCCGCGCTTACGGTGGCCGGATATCGTCCCGCGATCCCCGACGCCCGGTGTGTCCTTCGCGATGGCTGTGTTGCGCGCTTCGCGATGCCTCCTCCTTATATCTGTGGTGTAGCCTCTATGCCTTGAAACTAGTCGAGTTCCTCATCAAACAGTTACGTCAGTAAACCGAAATCTAATAATTAATTTAGTATGTCACAAGAAAGTTTATTTTCTATATAAAATAAAGTATACTGTTATACTATAGTTATGTACATACCTACTAGTAAACACACATAAACTTAGTAGTAGCACGGAGTCTGGAATTGTGTCCGGTAGGTATATGGCAATAGGCTTACCTCCTATTACATGGGACTCATACATAACATATAACTAGTGAAAAGTAGGTGTTACATTATACACTGGCATAATGTGCACCTCTGCCTACTCCTTTGGGGATAAAAGGCGTGATGTTATGTTGTTATTAAGTAATGACCCAATAAAAAGCATACTTTTACGATTAAAACACATTTTGTGATGGATAGATTTTTGTATAAATTAATGCACCTATCACTATGGTATAGGTGTGTGAGTGTGTAGTATAGTGTATGCATGTCTATGATAAATGTCCGGTAGTGCAAGCGTGTGCGCAGTGGAGCGTCACACATCGGCCTTACCTTCTGTCTACCCTGATTGCTGCACGCAACTTGAACATTCCTCCAAGAAAGTTATTATAAAAAAAACAACTGTACAACGAATGGCAGACAGACACAGGCAAGTGGTTGAAGTATACCTGACAAGCGAGATTCTATTCCCTGTACATAAAAAATTTCATCGAGTTATCTAATTTCTCCACTTATATGTATATTGAAATCAGACTTGAAACCTGTAAGTAGTATTCTGAGCTAAAGTGAAAATATAATAAGAACATATTTGAAAATACGCCTTACTATGATCGTAGATGTTTGTATCTTGTAGCTAAAGTTGAACAATCAATAACTTCACGGCTTTATTATAATGAGGGCACAAACAAGCGGACGTACTCGATTTCAAATCATACGTAGGTACTTAATGGACTACAATCAATATCGGTAGCAACTAATTATTACAGAGGTTATACATAATTCATCTATTTTATAGTACACTAGCCGTTTGTAAATTACACCCTATTACTCCCCTTAGTTCTAAATCAATAAGATTTTCAATCATCTTCCTATTTCCATCTATCTCTATTTTAAAATTAACCAGAATGTGTCCAGCAGTTTCGGAGATAATACAAAATACAAAGAAATTAACTAACTTTCGCAACCATAATGGAAGTCAGAATTAGGACATCACAAACATATCATTAGAATTACTCAAGCCAATAAACACGCACGACAATAATCCACCGACCGAGTGCATTATCGCTAAAAATAGATTAGAAAAAAGACAAAAGAAAGGAAAATCGACCGTTGTCCTCATTCTATCGATTAATTACGTGAATCAATCAAGATTAATAGTAAAAAAGGCTACAAGATAAAAAAAAACAGAGGCCAGGATCAGCAGAGGTCTCGAATACCAACCGGCCGTGGATATGAGGGAGGCCGCCATTAGGTACCCCAGGCCACCGCTGATGATAATAACATGTCGAATTTAGGCTCTGCTTCTACACAACGGGCCATATCTGCGATTGTTCGGGTGATAGCAGCTTATCTGTGATAATTTGTGTTCGTGTAACGATAGTATATCGTGATTTTTATTAATTGCGCTGTGACGTGCTGTTATAGGTCGGTAATTTTTTGTTGACTGACTTGTAGGCGGTTGCACTGTCAGACTTCTGTCGACCTGAGCCGAAAGGGATTCCATCAACTTATGCAGGGACATAATTAATATGCAAATGAATGACACAAAGAACCGAATTGCCTGATATTTACATGTGGCAGGCATCAGGCATCAGGCAATTCTTATTGTTAACAAACAAAAAGGTTGATAGTTTTAATATGGTTGCCTAGACAAGCCTTGTACAAAGCACAGTGGAAAGCCACCCCATGTGTACCTTCCTAATATTCATGTTAGAATCACTCTTTATAATGGTATAATTTGTAAACTATTGTAATGCTATGTAATATAACATTTTCGATACGCAGTTACCATATAATCTTAATAAATTTTTCAGGTTATACTGCACAAAATGTTAATGTCTCGAAGGACCATTTCAGATCAGTGATATTTCTTTGAAATTACGAAAGATAGTCAGTACCTATTCATTTATTGAACTGCAGTTCCTGTTCACCAACTTGCAGGCACAGAAATAGTGCACCGCATAATGAATGTAATGCAGCTAAGTCTAGCGTTCCAATTTGTTGTGAAATGCAAATAATGAACAGGCTTTTCGTTTCTCTCCAGTAAAATAGGTTCAATTAATTAAAATGGGTAAGCAAACGATACTTTATGGGCTAAGAATAATGTTGGATGTTTTCTTAGGACTTGGCTTAACTGCTGCATAGCATGCATAGCATATAGCAATTAGCACAACGCTTTGAATCTAATCAGGTTTTATGTTTCTCCAAGATTTGGGCAGAGGCGAGTAACTGAGGTGGCATACCTGGAGGATACCTGTGGAGGAAAATATTGAAAAAATACTTTGTTATCATACTTTGCCCATACATACTACGCTTGTGACCAGATTGCTTGTCCCATCATGTTATTCTGATTTATAGGCGTACTAAAGTCAGATCCTTCAATTATATTGACATGATACGATAAAATTACCTTATGTACCGAAAGAGAGGTAACTCAGGGTTACGTAAATCTAGATAGAATGGAACCAAACACGTACTTATAAAGTTGTTAAAAAACAAAATAAGGGCGTGTGTAGACGAGCAGGAAATTCCACGATGGAACGACCATTCCCGTCACCTCGTGATATGACCATCTGCACTGTTTACGTTGGCAATTTCCTACCCGACACCCGACACCCGACACGGCGACACGTGGCTATCGCGATCACCAGCTAGTGGGAACGGCGCCTTATGTCGTTTTTAGAAAACGGG